CCCGAACACCAGTTCTGGTACGTTGATCCTGGGACTCCATGAAACTTTTGCGCAGTTTAAGAGCGAATGTGCGCGGCGCCAGGGCGAGAAATTTTGAAAACAAGCCGCCCTGAATCCGTGAAGCTCTAGCAACCAATTAAAACGAATGTGCACGGAGCCTAGGCGAGAACCACATTTTGAAAACCAGCCGTCCTCAATCCGTGAACCTCTGGCAACTTTTAAATCGAATGTGCGCGGCGCTTAAGCGAGAACCTCATCTTTTAAACGACCCGCCCTCAAGCCGTGAAACTCTGGCAAAAGTACCAGACGAATGTACGCTGCGATAAGGAGAGAGCCACATTTTGACAACCAGCCGCCCTCAAATCGTGAACCTCTTCAATTTGTTACAACGAAAGTGCGCGGCGCTGAAGCGAGATCCACATTTTGAAAACGACCCGCCCTCAACCCGTGGAGCTCTTGCAATTTTTTAAGACGAGTGTGCGCGGCGCCGAGGCGAGAGTCACATTTTGAAAACCAGCCGCCCTCCGTCGGTGAAGCCGTTGCCAATGTTAAAGCTTCAGGGTCATAGGTGATGAGGAAGTCTCAGGCGAAACGCCCGGCCCGCCCTATCAGCTGGCCTCGGGGTGCGACAGGGAGAATCTACTTTTAAGGATAACAGTGGAGAATGAGGATGAGGCTGAGGATGATGATGATGCTGCTGATGATGATGATGATGATGATGATGATGATGATGATGATGATGATGATGATGCTGATCATGATGATGATGCTGATGCTAAAGAGGCGGAGGCGGATGAGGAGAAGGAGAAGGAGGAGAAGGAGGATGAGGAGAACGGGGATGCAAGGGAGGAGGAGGGAGAGGAGGAGGATGATGAGGAGGATGAGGATGATGAGGCGGATGGAGGATTGCGGAGGGTTGGATGAGGCAGGAGGAGGAGGAAGAGGAGGGGGAGGGGGAGGAGGAGCAGAGGGGAAGGAGAGGAAGGAGGAGGAGGAGGAGGAGGAGAGGAGGAGGAGAAGAAGGAGGGGGAGGACGAGGAGGAGAACGAAGAGGAGGAGGAGAAGGACGAGGCGGAGGAGTAAGTGGAGGAGGAGGAGGAGGCGGAGGAGGAGGATGAGGCGGAGGTGGAGGATTGAGGAGGGAGGATCGAGGAGGGAGGATCGACCAATCGAGGGGAGAGGATCGAGGATGAGGAGGAAAAGGAGGAGGAGGAGGAAGAGGAAGAGGAGGAGGAGGCGGATGGAGGATCGAGGAGGGTTGGATGAGGCAGGAGGAGGACGAGGAGGAAGAGAAGGAGGATGAGGAGGAGGAAGAGGAGGCGGAGGAGGAGGATCGAGGAGGGATGATCGATGAGGGAGGATCCGAAGGTCGAGGAGGGCGGATCGAGGAGGAGGAGGAGGATGAGGAGGAAAGAGGAGGATGAGGAGCAGGGGGAGGAGGAGGGGAGGATTAGGAGTAGTGGTAGTAGTAGTAGTAGTAGTAGTAGTAGTAGTAGTAGTAGTAGTAGTAGTAGTAGTAGTAGTAGTAGTAGTAGTAGTAGTAGTAGTAGTAGTAGTAGTAGTAGTAGTAGTAGTAGTAGTAGTAGTAGTAGTAGTAGTAGTAGTAGTAAGTAGTCGTAGGTCGTAGTAGTAGTAGTAGTAGTAGTAGTAGTAGTAGTAGTAGTAGTAGTAGTAGTAGTAGTAGTTAGTAGTAGCGTTAGGTAGTAGGTCGAGTATCGTAGTAGTAGTATTAGTCGTAGTAGTCGTCGTCGTCCGTCTGTGTCCGTCGTCGTCGTCGTAGTCGTAGTAGTCGTAGTTCGTAGTCGTAGTCGTAGTCGTGTCGTTAGTCGTAGTCGTAGTGTAAGTAGTAGTCGTTTAGTAGTAGTAGTAGTTAGTAGTAGTAGTAGTAGTAGTAGTAGTAGTTAGGAGGAGGAGGAGGAGGAGGAGGGGAGGAGAGGAGGAGGAGGAAGGAGAGGAGGAGGAGGAGGAGGAGGAGGAGGAGGAGGAGGAGGAGGAGGAGGAGGAGGAGGAATAGGAGCAGGAGGAGGAGGAGGAGGAGGAAACGGAGGAGGAGGAGGAAAAGGAGGAGAAGGAAAAGGAGGAGGAGGAGGAGAAGGAGGTGGAAGACCATGGCATGGCTTCGGAAACGGTTGGGCTTCGCCAAGGCGACTCGAGCGCTTCGGCTTGGGCTGCCGGTCGGGCAACCTCCGCAATTGAAAAAGGAGGGCTAAAACCGATCGGGCCCTGCTTTGAGGACCTCGGGTGCCGCCCTTCTATGAGCCTCTCGGACGGAAGATTTGCCCAAACATTGGAGTTGAATTTCTGAAGGCAGCCCAGGCCTTTCAAGGTACGTTCTGAATACTTGCCGCACTGCCTGCATGCAGCAATGAAGCTATCGTCAGCTAAGCGATCGAGAGCCAAGAGTTTGAGCCCGTTGGGCTGGAGCGCTAACTTGGCCAAGGCAACACCATTCCCAAGGCGCCGCTCCTTGGCAAGATCAGGCCTGGTCTTGCCATTCAGGCATCGCGAGTGGCAGAGACAGCAACGCCAACGAGTCTTCTGCCAAATCCGAGCGTGCTCGACCCGAGCACGCGCCACCCGAGGAGGGCGGGGAGGGGGGGGGGCCGCCGCGGCCCCGGAGCCCGAGCCAGAAACGCCTGGGCCAGCTCCACCTCGCCACGCTTCCGCGATCGAGCTGGCTCCAGCCGCTGGGCCGGTGGCCTTCGCGGGGGCTCCCGAGCCCTTCCCGCCGACCCTCGGGGCGATGGCGCGCCGCAGCGCCAGAGGCCTTTGGCACGTGCCGAAGGGAGCGTCTCATTCACTTGTCGAGCAGCTGCGGGGCTGCCCTCTCCCCTCGTGAGGGCTGGGGCAGGCGAGAGGCAGCCAGCTCAGCAGCTCGGTCCGCAGCGTCCCTCCCAGAAGAAGCGTGCCTCCGCTCTTCCGAGTAACGCCCCAGGGGCTCTAGGCTCTGGTGGGCCTCGACTTTGACAACCTCGAAGCCTCCGTCACGACTGGCCCCGCCGAGCTTGGCCATGGAGCCAGGCCCGTCAAACATAGTCTTCCTACTAGCTGGCTTGCCCGAGTTGTGACAGGCCACGACTCCATTGAAATCAGAGTGTATCTTAGTCACTCCTCGGTACTTACTACTGGCCAGGTATGCTAGGGATTCTGCTGCTGGGGATGTGGGCGGCAGGGCTCTACCAACTGGCCCACAGAGGTATGCTACTGCAGCCCCGTGTGCATCGCACTCTGCAGTTTCCCGACCAGGGGCATGACAAGACTGGCGGCCATCCTTGGCCGCACTGCCATCGACCTAAGCCTCGCCAGCGAAAGCTTCCTCGGGCGAAAAGGCCATCACGGGACCGAAGCACGGCTTCAGCTGAACCTAATCCTGGAGGCCTCGGGACCCCGTGAAGGGGGAGGCCCAGGGAGACCAGCACGGGCGGCAAACGCCAGGGGCCCCATGCAGGGCCTCGGCACCTCCTTCCTCTAGGCCTTTTCCTCCCTAGGTGCAGCACTTTTGGGGCACTCCAGAAGCCCGTGGAAGATGTGATCCTTGGGGTCCCCGCGTGTGCAGGTAGTGTCCGTGTCATGCCCTGCATCTTTGAGCCTGCACTTGGTCCAGATCGGCTTGGCAATGGTAAGAGACGAGGAGGCTGCGGCCCTGCGTGGTCACTATTGTGTCTGCTGGCGCTGCTTTGGCATGAGACAAGTCAACCGCATCAGCTCCAATGTTTACAGCAGCCTGGTCTGCCAGCTGCTCCTGCCACGCTGTCGCAGGCATCCGTCGAAGAAGTGCAGGCGAGGTTGTTGTGAGCGAAGAAGATCAGCGATACTGCTCCAAGAGGACCCCTGATGTGACCCCGTCCCAAAGGAGGCTTATCGCTGATGCCTGCAGCGAGTTGTGTAAGTTCAGGAAAATTGAGCTTGGATTTCTCGGGGTCCTGGGCGGCCCCGAAAACGATCATACTCCAATAGATACACGGTCCCAAGGCAGATCTCCAAGTCGGGACCTCAAGAATAGCCAGTGAAAGAGCGCGTGGGCGGGTGGCACACTTGGGCCCGGCGACCTTCCGGAGCAGATGTTGCGCTTCCTGGGACCCTGGAGCGGTGAGACCTAATATTTGAGTCCCAGAATGCCCAGCCTGCTGGCAACCAGTATTCCAAATCTTCTTAGTGTCGGCTCCTGCTGCACCCAGAGCTCGCCAATCTCCGAAGAGACGATGCTTCAGCTTCACTGCGCGCCCCTTTACAGTCTTACGTCCCTTGCCCCTTCGTCTGTCTCCTGCAGTGACGTCAACTCCTGAGTTGGCAGCGGCTGGCTCCGTCAAGCCTGCCTGAGGGTCAGCCCACTGGCCAAGCTTGGCCGACAGGTCGGCCTTGATCATCGGCGTGCACGCCATTACGGCAGCCTTCTGTTTGGCGGTGTTACATTTGAGATCAACAACGGTCGACTGATGCATGGAAACTGAGGCCGTGGCAAGGTCGGCTATCAATTTCTTGGGCATGCTGTTGTGACTGGCCAACATGAAATCGTCTATGATAATGGTCGGCTGCATTCTCGGATTCTGGGCCACCCAGATATCAATGGGCGGCAAACGATACCACGGCACAGCGAAAGTGGTTGCCCCGCAACCTGCGGCTATGCCTATGTCTGGGCACCCTGCAGGAAGGAGGAGGAGGAGGAGGAGGAGGAGTGGGCGAGGGGGGAGGAGGAGGAAGAGGAGGAGGAGGAGCGGGGAGGAGGAGGAGGAGGAGGGGAGGAGGGGAGGAGGAGGAGGAAGGGAGGAGGAAGGAGAGGAGGAGGAGGAGGAGGAGGAGGAGGAGGAGGAGGAGCAGGAGGAGGAGGAGGAGGAGGGGGGAGGAGAGGAGGAGGAGGAGGAGCAGGAGGAGGAGGAGGGAGGGGGAGGAGGAGGAGGAGGAGGGGGAGGAGGAGGAGGAGGGGGAGGAGGAGAAGGAGGGGAGGAGGAGGAGCGAGCAGCGAAGCTCCCGCCCCGCGCCCCTCGTCCCCGCGCCGTGGCCTCTCCGCCCCCCGAACGGGCCGGCCGCCTGGCCGAGTCGACCGCTCACCTCGAGGAGCCTCGCGCCGGGGGAGGGCGGAGCAGGAGGGGGCGACGGAGGGATGGGGGGGGGCGGGGGGCGGGGGGCGGGGGAGGGGAGAAGGGGGGGGTGGGGGGGAGGGAAAGGGAGGAGGGGAGGGGGAAGGGGGGAGGGAGGGGTGGAGGGGGAAGGGGGAGAGAGGAGGGCGAGAAAGGGACGGGGAGGAGGGATAGGGACATTGAGGATGACGGGGGAGGAGTGAGGAGGATGCAGGAGGAGGAGGATACATACGGAGGGCACACAAGGAGGATGTATGAAGAGGAGGAGGAGGAGAAGGGAGGAGGAGGAAGAGGAGGAGGAGGAGGATGAGGATGGGGAGGAGGAGGAGGAGGAGGAGGAGGAGGAGGAGGAGGAGAAGGGGCTGGTAGGACATAGTAGCCGTGGTGGTAGGAGGAGGCGGAGGGGGGGGGGGAGGATGAGGGGAGGAGGGGGAGGAGCAGACTGACGAGGAGGGGTGATGGTCAGGAGGATGAAGAGGGTGATGCCTCTTATGGTGATGACGATGCTGATGATGTTGAACTTGTTGGTGAAGATGACGATGACGCTACTGATGGGAATGCTGATGGTGGTGCTGACGATGCGGGCAACTATGCTGATTATGTTGATGGTGATGCTTGGGATGAGGACGATGACGAGGAGGATGCTGTTGAGGATGGGGATAAGGAGGAGGGCCACTCGCTGCAGGGGGAGTGGCACTGGTGGGTCCAGAGGGGGCCACCGCTTCTGGATACCATATGCGAGCCTCAGTTGGGCTACACATGAAGCGTCATTTACATGAAATGACACACGGCCTGCTTCGCATGGCAGAGAGGGGGGGGATGCTGAGGAAGACATAATGGTGGTTGATGGTCCGTGCCCCTCCCGTTCCCCCCTCGTTTGTTCGACCCCCTTCCCCTTCTCGGTTCCGCGCTGGTATTGTTCAGCTGTGCAAACAGAAGCAGGTGGTGGTGGTGGTGGTGGTGGTGGTGGTGGTGGTGGTTCGAGGAGGGGGAAATAAGTGTGGGTGGAAAGAGTAGGAGAGACACGGACAAGCTAGGTGCGCTCGCGCCATATCTGATACCCAACCCCTCCCACCCACCACCGCTTCCCATTGCGCTGATTTTTCCCTATCCGTCGACGGGTGCCATCGCGGATCTGGACCCCCCCCGGGACACGATCGTGTTATGTATGCGCAATCAGAATAGGGGAACTGTGTGCACAGGAGGGCGAGGTGGCGGATGAGCTGGATGATGAGCAGGAGGAACAGGAGGACGAGGGATGAAGAGACGGAGGAGGAAGAAGAGGAAGAGGAGGATGAGGAGGACAACACGAGGAGGAACAGCAACAGCAGGAGCAGAGGAGTGGGAAGCGCGGGAGGACCAGGAGAACAAACGGGAAGGCAGAGGAGGGGAACGGAGCGGGGAGGCAGGCAGCGATGAGGAATGACTCCGATCCAGAGAAATGGCCCACGCTGTGTCGAGGGCGTCACTCTGAACTTCGGGAGCAGCACGCCGATCCTGAAAGGATGCGCACGCTGAGGCGGGAGCAACACGGCAAAACACTTAAATCGTTCCGATTGATTCACCAATGTCAAACATCAACGCTTGACCTGCTGCGTGGAAGAATTCCGTGCACGGAGAGGGCGGAACACTGTCAGCACGTTGTCATGTGAGAGAGGACGCTCGTTTTTCATATGGAACAATTGTGGAGGAAAGGGGGACGAAGGAGGAGGAGGAGAAGGAGGACGAAGAGTATGCGGACGAGGAGGGGGACGAGCAATAGCGGGCGGAGGAGGAGAAGGATGACATGGAGGAGGTGGTGGTGGTGGTGGGAGGGGGAGGGGCGGAGGGAGGAATGGAGCCAAGGAGCAGGGAGGATTGAGGACGGGGAGGTTGAGGGGAGAGAGGGGGGGAGAGATGATGGGGATCTTCCAACAAGCGAGGATCAGAAACAGGAAAGGAGGGTGTGCTCATCGCAGGAGCACCTGTTGCGCTGTATTGCGCCCCCTGGCGCTGGATAAAACAAATGTGCCTTAAGCCGTTGCCATACCGCGCGCGAGAGCGCACACGTCTGGCGCACATGCTGAGGCGTTACATGTCGCGGTGCGCCAGGACACGCGCGACAAAGCTCGCGTGTGGTGCGCGCATGGAACCGTGGGCGTCTGCAGGTGCCGTGCCGCGCGCGACGCGGGCCGAGGGAGAGCTGACCTGCAGAGCTCCAGGCGCCCCACCGAGGCCACTTCGGCGCAGCCCGTCTCAATACTGTCGCGACAGGTGGTGTCACGTTGCCGGCGGAGTCAGAAGTGCGTGTATGCATGTGTGTGCGTGTGACGTTTGCAGCCTCCTGCTGCAGCTCTGGCTTCGGCCGTCCTTGTCGTTCCTCGCCGCTCGTCGTACTGCGCCTCTGCTTGTCCCGCGCTCCTGCCCTTTCTTCCTCTCGGGA